CTCAAAGGAAAAAAAACATTAAAAGCAAAAAAAAAAAAATTATAGGTGAGCAGAATAAAGGCCAGCTGAAAGGATACACAGATTCAGTTTGAGAATAATCAGAACTTAACATTTGTATTACCTTTCTTAGAAAATATCATCAGCAACATCCTTGTTTTTTTCTCCCGCTACCAAATGCCTATCCTTTTGTTTAAGCTTTTAAACAGTAAGCTTCAGGGTGAAAGGCCTTACAAGCCTCTCAGTTAACTATTTTTGGCCTAAAAACAAGATAAAATGGCTTAAATAAATATGTTTTGGGGATTAGGTCCTCAAAAGTTTTTATTTGTTTGTTTCAACTTGGCCACTGCCTAAATCTAGTCAAATCCACCCAACAGAAATATTGTTTAAAAATACACTTTAAAAAAAAAACCACTAAGAAACAAAAGGACAAACCATTCCATCAGATTCCACAGCCCTCCACAAAAATCTCACTAATGTAAGACGTTGCCTAGTCAGCTTCATAGATTCTTCCTACAAAGAAACAAGATCTCAGTAAATCTAAGTGACTTTATCAGCAAACTGCTAGTAACTAGACAGCATATCTTTCTGTTCTTGTCTGTCCCTAAACCAGGTTAACAGCTCAGCAATGTAGTACCAGAAAAGTAAGAGTAGTGCCAGCATGGTATAAGCTTCAGTCTGAGCTCAAACTTGTGCTGACTCACATTCAGTTCTATTCCTCATCTATCAGCTCCAGTCTTCATTTCCATTTATTTATCACCTGAATTTTCTGAGAAAATTCAAAGACAACAGGTAGAAAAAATGCTGCTTCTTCAGAATCCAGGTCACCTTTTAGTGCCATATATACAATATATAACAAAACAGCACAGCAACAGCCCACAGTGCTGAAGGAGCCACAAATTCCCCAAATATTATTCCTTTGAGATTTCTGGGTTCTCTAGTTTGGACATAGTTATGTCTGGGTTCTCTAGTTTGGACTAGTTAGTCTCTAGTTATAGACTAAGTTAGCCCACTTGAAGAATCTTGTTTCAAAAATTGTTGCCCTCTAATGCACCATTTCACTAAGTTATAGGTCATGACAATTGGCTTATGGAATGTCTTGTTTAACATGTGAATATTCCATTTATGTACTCCTTTTTCTTTTCCCTACCTCATGCCTTAACTTATTTGTCTAATTTTATCTTCCTTTTCTACATTTGCCTAATCTTACCAATTCTGAAAGGGAAAAGCTTGGTGGGTATGTACATAAGAAAAAAGTGTTTAATGTGCATCTAAGCTTTGGCCTATTGGCAGACACCATATTGAAAGCCTGCCAAGCAGACGTCTGTTCTAAAAGGTGAAAGATGACTGCTTAACTGTATTTAAACAAAATCCGTGCACAGGAAGAGAAGCATAAAATAGTGAAAGACATTTTCTCCATAATTACCAATAATTTTCCTTCGAAGTAGTAGGGAAGAAGTGCCAAGTATATTACAGACTGGAATGCTTTTTCTCATAGGACTGTTTCAGGAAACTCAGAGATTTTTCACACAAACTGAGAAATAGCCTTAGGCTACTCTGTAACGTACAGGAGGAAAACGTATGGCTCTCCCAATGTGGATGAACTACATCTTCCAACATCCATAATTATTGTTTCCATGGTAGATGATGGAGAAATACTGACACAAGGAAGTAACCAATGACATTTACTACATTAAATTCTGTGCCTATCTGAGATTTTCTGGGTAGGGGAGACTGACAATAATTTTGAGTATCACTTTTTCAGCTCTCAATTCTTTCAATATAGCCAGATATGAATCCTAAATTTCTCTGTCTCAAGGAAATAGGCACTTACACTTTTGTGTAGATCCTGCCAACAGAACTAGAAGTTTGGCTCACCTTTCAGCTTTCTAAATATGGACCCAAGACTGTCCTTACTTTTAAATTCTGTATTACTAAGCTTTAAGTCTTCTGGCAATGAGTGAATGGCTACTACTTGAATAAGACTAAATAAATAGTTAATTTCCCATTGGTAATATGAAGGTGTTATTGGCTCTTCTGATCCTAGCAACTCAAATGAATAGCATCTTTCCACTTTTCCCATAAATTAATGGATATTTTCTGCAGTCCATTGTGGCCTGAAGTAGTCTGAATTAGCCATGCTTAGAAAATCCATAATTTTTCAATGGTGGAAGGGTAATTATACTAGCATGTTGGAAAACTACTTGCTTTTGGCCATCCCCTCACTGATAAAATGCTTGAAAATCTTCAACTGAAACTTGAAAAAATTAGGGTTAGCCAAAAAGTCTACCTTCCTTGCTACTTTCATTTCATTTTGCCAAACAGTGATCAGACTTCAAATGTTTTGAAGTTTCTGTATCAAGGTCTACAATCAAAACTTTTTCAGTGGAATTTTTAATCAGTTTGAACTGAATTGGGTTACTGATGAATCTCAAATTGAATCATACCCAATGGAATCCTGAATCTTTAAGCCAAATAAAATCAAGGCTATTAACTGGAGGTGCTCCAGATTATTTTTCAGCAATCCCTTGGATTAAATATTACATACTCCTGGGAATTCTGGACCAACATTGAATTTCTCATCAAACAAATGGATGCAGGATGAATATACTAAGATAAAATGTTGTAAAATGACTGTAATAAAACCAATGTTAATACTTTATTATGTTCTGATTTGTATTTCAATAGAGATATTGTAACTTCTATTGAATAATACAATAAATTTTACTAAACTTTTCTTCATCAAAATACTTCATTTGCAATAATCTATATTTTCTTTCCAATATCTCTGCAGAGCACTCTTCTCTACCTTGAGGCTGTCCAAGTTGGCTTGGACAATTCTTCACTGAAATTTTGAGACTTGAACATCTCACCATATCTGGAAATTTTAATGCTATAAACTAATTTGTATAATTATTTTCCCATACTGAAAAAGTGTGGGTTTCCTAAGCATGGCCAAGATTGGTTGAATAAAGTTGTTGTAATGTTACTTGTGATTCAAATTGTGTTTCTGATCAACATGGTTCATAACCATAGTATTATTTCCAAACCAGTTATTTGTTTACATCTAGATGCAGATTTTATTTTGCATTGGGCCATTGCTTTTACACACACACACACACACACACACACACACAAACACACACAAACACACACACACCAGTTGCTGGAAAGAAAACATGAAAGGAAAAAAAATATGGAGTGAACCGAGAATGGCAACATCAAGGATGAAATTGCTATAAGGAGATATGCAAATTAGATGTCTAGAAACAGCCTTCCTGTTGTAAGCTTATAACCTTAGCTTGAGATCCTATTATAATCACTATATGATACCAAACCTCTGTAGCACATGAACTGGAGAATGGGGCAGAAAATGCTTGGGTCCAAGCACTCTACCTACACTCTACACTGCCTATTTAATCTAACTAAGAGTGAAGATGTATGGAAGGCAAATGAAACAGTTTGACTAGAATAAAGGGATTCCGTGCCAGAACAAAAGATAAAATCTGGTTTGTTCTTTTCTCTCTCACACACAGGTGCTAAATCATCAGCAGTTCACTAGAAAGCAGTACATGGCACAATTATGGCAAAATGCCACACTAAAGTCAATATAATTTGAAAGCTGAGCATTTAAGGCAAAAATCAGTATCGAGACTCATTGCTTTCTCAAACCATTTCAAATATAAATACAATTTTATCCCCAAGATTCATCTAAATGATTGGTAAGAGTAAATACCAACACTTTTTATTTGTATATAAATCATATATAAAATAATGACAACAAACATACATATGCTTCCTAATTATTCAAGTAGTGCATAGTGAAATATTCTTAGAACACCCTTGATTTTTGACATTCAGCCCAGAAAATCATAGAATAATATATTCCTCAATCCCTACAAAAGCCTTATTTTTTAAAATTGTTTTTGAACTGTCCTTTTTTTTTAAAAAAATCATATTTTAGCTCTTTGCACTTATTCAAAAGCACTAAATAGTAATGAAAATGTACTGAAACCATAAAAATATTTCACTGCATGATATTTGCTGTATTACATCTTGTAATAGAGGACATATGTGAAAGAGATTAGAATCCAGTTTGCATGAGACATGAACAGAAAAAAAGTCAGATGAAGATATCCAAGGCAGACATTGAAATGCAAATGCAGAAAAATTATGCTGTGCTATTTTTCCATCAATTTTCATGTTATTCCATCTGATGAAAGATAATTTTCTCTTTAAATGTATATTAAAATGTCACAATTGGAGAGGAGTCTCATGCACTTATTTAGGTTTACAGCCAAGGGTAGGTGTAAATTCCCTTGCATATTACTGCCTAATTATATTTCCAGTTCCCAGGCTTCTCATACTTCAATTTAATTCCAAGGAAAGGTATCACAAGAGTGATAACCATCGCTATTCATGATGCTATCAAAGTATGCATCGTGATGTCACAACACAGGCTACACCCTTTCATACTTACATCAACGGTGGAAAGAAGTACATTAAGGTGCAGTTTGCATTATGATCCTGCAATGCATGTCTTGTCACTTGTTCCTCCTATCATAAGGAGGCCAATGAAATTCACCTTGTTCATGTAAAGAAATCTTCAACACTTGCAGCAAAGGAAACAGTAAAGCAGATTTTTAACACAGCATAATTACATATAATAAATATATTTGATAGCAGGTAAATAAACAAAATTCTCAAAGCTTTACTATAGCCTTTTTTCCCCTTCCCCTCTCCCCACCCAATATATACATACATATATTATACCATATATGCTAAATTAATAAGGAAGAAATATTTATTTCATTGTGGCGTTCCAAATAGGAAAGCAGGTGAAATTAAAAGTCTAAGTAGACTACAGAACTAGACAATAAACAAGACCAGATGGTAGAACTTTAATTATTTATTCAGAGTAAGTTTTTCCACTTGCATGTCAGGGTCCAAGATCAAATTTAGAAATGCTTGACAGTAATTACAGTATGTAGAAATAATCTTACCCAGCAAGTTTGTCAGCCATAGCGCCAAATCTTCCTTCATTGGTAACAAATTAGCCTCATGTCTGCTGGCCAACCACTGGCTATACTGGTGCATATCAGAGAGGCCAGGGCCTCGGACCTTAGGGCTCAGAGAAGTGCACATCCTTCAGCCACTGATGGTACCTGAACTCTAGAAAATGTTAAAAAAAAAAAACTCATATAATCAATTGCTTCCAGATGTTAAAGTATCCAGATTCAATAGTGTTAAAAGATGATAGATGATGCCTCTTTCACAAGAACACAGTAAGACAATTGCATATTAGCATTTTTTTTCAAATGCAGCCTTTTAGTGTTGATAATTCAAAGGCAAAAAAAAAGTTCTGTCTGTACATATTTATGTATATACATGTATCTGTGTATGGTATAGTACCATGATTTTGAAAGAGTGGCTTATGACACGTCCTTGTGACCATTGCAGCATCTCTATAATCATGTGACCCAAATTCGGGTGATTTGTATTTACTATGGGTGCAGGATCCCAGGATTATGTGACATATTCCTATGCCACATATTCCGGTAGTGGCAGACAGAGCCATCTGTCTGGGCACGCCAGCCATCGCCTGTTGCTCTTCTGGGTTCCGGCACACGCATGCGCACCAGCCAGCTGGTCTTCACATGTGTGGAAGCAACGGAAACTGGAAGAGCAGCTCCCCGGTGCACATGTGTGCGCCAGCCAACTGGTTTTTGTGCATGCATGCATGTTAGAAACCAGAATACCAGGTGGCCGGCAGCTTATGTGCTTACAGAAAAACATGGGAAAAATAAGTCACATCAATTCTTCCTTCGCCTTTCAGAGAAACTGCAGGCTTATGATGGATGCCTGCCTGCCTGCCTGGAGTCAAGTTATAACTTGTAAATCTGATGCAAGCTGACAGATCAGGCTGTCTTTTGGATCATGTCCATTGACTGGGAACTATCTACACTCTTGGCTTACATGGTTCCTTTAATTCATAATGACATGTGGTCTTCCTTTGTGCTGTATTAAAACCCACGGAGGGCTCAAAAGTGAGGCTACCTTTCCTATCTTTGATGGGATACCAACATTAATCAACACTGACACTGAGTTTAGAATAAAGGTGTATAAAATATTGCAAATATAAAATATTACTCTAAGGGGAAAAAGTATAGGCAATGAATTACAGAGGTAGACCCTGGGTCTCTCCTAATCAGTACATGCATGTGTATGTGTGCATGTGTGCATTTATATCAGTATATATATACATAAAAACCTCTGAAATAAATTCACAAATAAAAGAAAGGTAGACATGTTAAGAGGTATGGTGTAGTCCAGGGTGCTTTTTGAGATTGGTTGTTTATTGCAGACCTTTTAATATTCAACTAGATAATATCACCAGTGCTAATGACTGTGCAGCTTGCTTCCTGTTTATATATAGTTATGTGCCATGCTATTGTTGGCAGAATTGTGGTTTTCTTTTTAGTAATTCCTAGAAGTTCACAAATTTCAGTAAATATTTCATATCTGTTGAAAAAGACCTACTACTTTTTTTAAAAGAAAGAGTACCAAGGTTTGCCTATGATTTTTACTTACTAATTAGATCAGAATAAAATAATTATTATTCTTTTATCTCTGTGAATATCGCCCCTACTTGTTCTTTATTTCTTGAAATCTGGTTCTTTAACAAAATTTATAATGGCTATTTACAGTATTATTACTGTATAAGATTCTAAACTTTCTGAGAATGTTTTCCAGCATCCACAGTTTTGAATCTGCCAATTTCTATTTACAAAATAATATATTAATAATATGTGGGTGCATTAGATTCAATGACATCAAGTCATTTTTTTAACCTAGGTTATAATTCGTGAAACAGGAAATGGGTTCCAATATTTAGAACAAAAGAAATACAAAGTGAATAAGTGTCTCTTCTAGACTCCCTCACTTTTGGTATTCTAATTTAAGTGAGGAAAATTGGAGAATATAAAGATAATTTTCATGTGAAGTGAAGCTCCTGATGATTATAGATACAATTGGGTGGTATTTTTGGCCCGAACACATAAGTAGTTTCCCACTGCCGCCTTCTGGGTTAGGTTATATTCATTTCTCCCATATTTCCACTCAAATATTAACCTGCATAACTCTGCATAGCTTCTAAATCCAGATAAGGCGAACCAGATGCAAAGCTTTGAACTAAAGTATTGTATCTAAACCTTGAGACTCTACCTCCTGAAGCAGATAAACTATTTTTTTTTCATATTTGATTCATTTAACATTTGTTCTTTTTCCTCCTCCAAGATGGTGTTTAAATCATTTGGCAGCAGCATAATGACATAAGTACAGTCAAAACTGACTAGGCCCCAATACAGTAAGGTGTTTATATCATCTTTCAAATTATTTTCTAAATAGAAGCTCATTAGAAAACACATTGATTTCAGATTAAGACACTGGATTACCTAAATTAATGCATAGATAAACACTACATATATGGAAGGATGAATACTATCCTCATGAAACTAGGAAAAGAAAAACATGTCAGCAAGTGGAACCAAAAGTGGGTTCATCTGGGGCCAAAACCTCTCTCCTCAAAATTCCCAGAATAACATCTTCTGTAGTATTTGGTGAAATAATGTATGATTCAGTTCATTGTGGGTGTTTATCTCATCAAAATCTGCTTTCTTTGAAACAGAAAAAAAAAGAATGGATAGATGTTTTCAGAACATCTGAAAAGACATTTTAAAACAGCAAGGGCATCATGGAAGTATCATAATTCCAATTGAAAGGGGCAGAGAAAGATTAATTCTACCACCATTGTCATTTTGTAATTCTTTTTATTTGCTTTCTTTTTCTCCTTAACAAGGGTGGGATTCTACCTGGTCGTACCAGTTCTATAGAACCAGGTTACGATTCTGCGGAGTTCAGAGACCCGGCAAATTGCATCATTGGCTGGCCCCTCCCCTCCCCACCCAGTCACTCCTTACCTGGCATGCGTGCCATCCAACTTGCCTGCTAAGTTGCTGTTTTTCCTTTTTTTCCTGACCATCAGCTGTTCTGACTAGATTAGCTAGAAAGCAGGAAATCGTGGGATTTCTTGCTTTGTAGCTAATCTAAAAGCAGAACTGAACCTTCCTAGCTTCTATTTTTCAGTGCAGACTCAGGCAATTGATTGCAGAATGGTAGATCTCTGAATGAATCTGTGATTCTGTGAGCAACTCAATCTGCCTGCCTGCTCTGCCTGATTTTGGGTAAAAGTTGCTCTTTTTTATAAAAAATTCAATATTTACATACATGGTGTGTTGTGAGTTAATTTTGTGAGTTTGCTTGCAAGCAAATTTTATGTGACAGACTCAGGCAATAGATTGCAGAATGGTAGATCTTCTCAGTGAATCTGTGATTCTGTGAGCAAATCAATCTGCCAGCCTGCTTTGCCTGATTTTGGGTAAAAGTTGCTCTTTTTTATAAAAAATTCAATATTTACATAAATAATTATAATATTTACATATAAGCTATGCCCAGCCAGTCATGTGACCACCAAGCCATGCCCAGTCAGCAAGTCATGCCCATCCAGTAACTACCAAGCCTCACCCACAAATTAGGCCACACCCACAAACTAGTTGTTAAGGAATTTGAATCCCACCCCTGCTCCTTAAGTTAATTCTCTTGTTTGTCGTACATCAGTGCAGTATTTCATGCACACATTTCATACATTCATCTCAATTCAGCATCAGTGTTGATTCATGTTGATGTTCCTATAAAAAGATGGGAATGATAGCCTTACTTTTAAGCCCTAAGTGGTTTTTAATGTAGCACAAAGGAAGAGACCGCATGCCATTATGAATTAAAGGAACCACCTAAACCAGAACTGTAGAGGGTTCCCAGTCAATGAACAAGTTCCAAAAGACAGCCCAGATGATCTGTCAGCTTATATCAAGATTACAAGTTACCATATCCCGACCTCAAGCAGGAAGGCATTCTTCATAAGCCTGCAGTTTCTCTGGCAAGGATAAGGAAGATTTGACACAACTTATTATTATTTTTTCATGTTTCTTTGTAAGCATCAACATGACTTGGGGAAGAGGCAAATTATTGTACGCTCCAAGCTTTATCACTCAGCCAACCATAAAAGTATTTTTGTGTCCTGTAAGAAGTTTCAAAATATGAATAGCAGCAACAACAGTCATATTGTTCTGTTACATCAATTTTGTCAGAAGACTTGAAAGTCTTCATTATTGTAGATTTGGAAATGTAAAGCAGAAATGTTATAGGTTTGAAAAGGCAATTTGGAACCTGATATTTCAAATACAGTAACAAGTGCAATATAACAATCTCCATGGACTGCATACTTAGAAATATGCCCCTCTCTCTCTCAAAAAAAGAATGCTTCCTGACTAAAGTATGCATAATTAATTTACTGCCAACTCTTGAGGACTCAATGAAAAGATTCAATAGAACAAAGCATAGATTACAAATGTTTGAATCAAATGGCAATTTTAGTATATTCTGTGGATATGTTATGAGTAAAAATTTTCTTTTCTTACAAAAAAGTTTTGAGGGATTTTTTAAAAAAAGTTTCACAAGAAATGTTACTTTTGCAACATAGCAGTTATAACTTTAGTTACTGATTGAGATAGCAATAACAATAGCACTTAGACTTATATACTGCTTTATAGTGCTTTACAGCCCTCTCTAAGCAGTTTACAGAGTCAGCATATTGCCCCCAACAATCTGGGTCATCATTTCACCCACCTCAGAAGGATGGAAGGCTGAGTCAACCTTGAGCCTGGTGGGATTTGAACTGCCAAATTATAGGCAGCTGGCTAAAGCAGAAGAAGCTTGCAGTACTGCATTCTGACCACTGTGCCACAGAGGCACAGAGATAGTGACTATATAACTTACATGAATGAATGAATGAATGAATGAATGAATGAATGAATGAATGAATGAACAGTTCAGTGGGACTTTCTGTCAAATTAATGCAAACTAAATTATACCAATATTAGCATAAGTCCACTTTACATAAGGCCAATTGTGGTCCACAGCACATTACTTTTCTTTCTTTCTGTTTCTGAAAATACTCAGTCCCTGCTGTAATCTAATATATACATTTTTGAAACTAAAACTGGATTAATTAAAAAAGGATTAGTTGAACTTAATATGATCAGCCTTAATCCACA